TTCCAGACGCTTATGAACACCGTCCTCTCCGAGTTCCTAGGTTCGTTCGTTGTCGTTTACCTAGACGACATACTCATCTTTTCCAAGTCGAATGGGGAGCACGTGCAGCACTTGCAGAGGGTCTTTGAGGTCTTGCGGAGGGAGAAGCTGTACGCGAAGCAGTCGAAGTGCGAGTTCTTTCTCCCCGAGGTCGAGTTCCTAGGACACGTCGTATCCGCTAGTGGCGTTAGGACCGACCCGAAGAAGATCGCAGCGGTACAGGATTGGGTAGCACCGACCTCAGTCAAGGAGTTGCAGAGCTTTCTCGGATTCGCAAATTACTACCGTCGTTTCGTTCAGGGTTACGCTTCCATCGCTAGTCCACTCACCGACCTACTTCGGAAAGGCGTAGAGTACGTTTGGGGTCCAGCGCAGCAGCAGGCGTTCGAGCAGATGAAGCAGTCGCTCACGTCTTCACCGACACTGTCGTACCCTGATCCCACTCGCCCGTACGTTGTAGTGACCGACGCTTCCGATCAGGCCATAGGAGCAGTGCTTCTTCAGGACCAGGGACGCGGGTTGCAGCCGATCGCGTACGAGTCGCGTAAGCTTAGGGGAGCGGAACTGAACTATCCGATACACGACAAGGAGGCGCTAGCGATCATCCATGCGTATAAGGTATGGAGGTGCTACCTAGAGGGGGCAGACAGTGTTATACGCACGGACCACTGCTCGCTTCGCTTTCTCAAGTCGCAACCGCAGCTGAGTCGTCGCCAGGCTAGATGGATGGAGTTCATGGAGGGGAGCTTTCATTACAGGATAGAGTACAAGCCAGGCGTGCGCAACCCAGCAGATCCGCTCACTCGCCCTAGTTGCCAGCTCGCTAGCCTCACAGTCACTGCAGGCCATCCACTTCTCACAGCACTCTTCGAGCACGGTTACACAGTAGATCCCGACTTCACACCGCAGCCGCCCGCAGGAGCAGAGGTGCAGGGTAGTGTTTACATACGGAAGGGCACCACACGGATTTGGGTTCCAGCCTACCGCCCTCTTCGACAGCTCCTTCTCTCAGAGGCGCACGATGTAGTTAGTGCAGGTCACTTCGGAGCAGATAAGACGGCTAAGACGCTTAGTCGCACGTACTACTGGCCAGGGCTTGCAGCAGACGTAGAGGATTACATTCGCTCGTGCGACACGTGTCAGCGTACGAAGTCCTCTCGCCAGCGCAAAGCAGGACTTTTGCAGCCGATTCCACCGCCCGACCGCCCTTGGCAGGTAGTTACGATGGACTTCATCATGGCATTACCGCGCATAGTAAGGGGTCACGACGCGATCTTCGTGGTAGTGGATAAGTTTTCTCGAGCAGCGCATTTCATCCCCACGCACGGTCAGGTCACAGCAGAGGAAGCCGCGACGTTGTTCGTAGATAACGTAGTCCGACTGCACGGGGTTCCAGATTCCATCATCTCAGACCGTGACCCTAGATTCACCTCAAAGTTATGGAAGCAGCTTTTCGTACTATTTGAAACTCGCTTAGCCATGTCGTCTGCGTACCATCCAGAGACAGACGGACAGACTGAGCGCGTGAACCAGACCTTGGAGCAGATCCTTCGCAGCATCACGATGCACGACGCAGCAGCATGGGACAAGAAGCTGAGCATGGCCGAGTTCGCATACAACAACACGCACCACTCCGCCACAGGCATGTCACCGTTCTTTGCACTGTACGGTCAGCACCCCAATGTCCCCACTCGTGTCGATCTCACACCCACAGTCCCACGTGCTGATAACTTCCACCAGCACCTCACCTTCATTCACGACCACGTGAGGAAGCACCTTGAGCTCGCAAATGCACGCATGGCACGCACCACCAACCGCAGTCATTGTGAGGTGTTGTTTTCAGTCGGTGACCGTGTCCTTCTCGATAGCCGCAACCTCCGACTGCCACAGGACAGCAAGCTTCGCCCACGTTTCATTGGTCCATTCGTCATTGAGCGCGCACTTGGTCCAGTCGCATACCGCCTTCGCCTTCCCGCTCATTTCCGCATGCACCCATCATTCCACGTGTCTCTCCTTCGGCCTTACACTGATCCCAACACCACCTTCTCGGGCCGTGATCGCACTCCACTGCCGGTAGCTGTTGACACCGACGAGCCCGACTACCAGATCCAGCGCATCCTCAGGCACCGTCGCCGTCTGCAGGGAGGTGTCTCTTTCATCGACTTCTTGGTTCGTTGGCGTGGTTACGATGCAGCCGACGACAGCTGGGTTCCTTCGTCCTCGCTGTCTCCCGACAACGCTTGCCTCCGAGCGTACCTTCAGTCTGCAGGCGCCGCGGACGTCGCCTCCTTGGGAGGGGGGTAGTGTTAAAGGGGGATTTACTGTTCCCTTTGAACAGTACTTTCCCAACCCATCCAAGTCACCCTTATCCTTATCTTCTCAGATTCTCTAGTGCCACGTGGCACTCTACTTTTCTTGCACTACAATTCTTGGTCCCACAATCCACTTTCCAACCTTGTTTCTTGCATGCTATATAAACCTTGCTTGTATTCCCTCATATCAACCAATTCTCATTCAACTCTTCTTCAATTACTCAGTAACTCCTTCGCCTATTTCGCTAGTAGTTCTTTCGCCAAAGTCTTCCGCCGCGCTTCATCCTCGACTTAGTCGACCCCGCTAATTCTTTAGCAGACTTAGGCCAGCGGGCCTAATAGTGGGGGCAATTTACACTGACCCATGCAAGAAGAGATTTTCTGGCCACCCCGAACTGGCTCATCCCAGATGTTTCTCGCCAGCTTTAGCTTTTCATTTGGAAGATTCTTGTGCTGGACGGATGTGGCCTCGCGTTATTGGCTCACTACTGTTGCTTTCACTTTGAGCATGTGCGCCATGTCACAACTTATCTAGCAGACGTGGAAACGCCAAATGGCCACAAAGTTCGATATGCTTTTTGCTGGAAAAGAGCATTTCTGTCCACAGGTTCGATATCCATTTCATCCACGCCAGCAGGCAGTTTCACGCACCTCCCAGTATTTATTTTCCACTTATGTGTCATCTTTTGCTGCCCAAACTGTAGGTTTCGGGTTTCTCAGGCTTGAAATCAGGCTCCTTGTTTTTCTTTTACGGGCTCAGGTTTAGTGTGGTGTGATTTATCAAGATCGGTCTCCAGCGAACCTGCCCAAGTGAAAGGTTCATTAATGCAAAGGTAGGCCACCCCTTCCGAAGCTTCTATTGTCATGATTACTTGATATCTTCTGCTGAGACAGGATGGACATTCAACACTTCCGAATGTTCTAGGTGTTGCCACGTGAGGTCTCCATTCCGGTTTGTGGTTGCAGTTCATTTGCTGATCTGGCATAGAAAAGTGCCTGGCTGATCGTCGCTGCACCCAAACGCGGTCTGTGTTGCACGAAAATCATCCGCTCCACTGTCTCTTTTCGGGAAAAGCGCAGCCTTTGCGTGGTTTCCAGATCCCTTGCGAAAATCTTTATCTGTCCCAGAGAATGCGAGGTTGACCTCCTGTCCAGAGGACACGGGAGATTCTTTTCACGTCTACCAATCGCACAAAAGAAGTCTGGTTCTTACACGCGTCACGAGCAATTCACGGATTTCCCGCGGATAGGCAATGCAAACCAGCCGCACTTTTCGACGCCTCCACATCGAGCTTTTCCCTCTGTGGCTCTTGAGCTGCCAGGGCAGCCGTAGCCAGGCAAAAGAGATTTCTTTCGGGCAGGAGAACGTTGGCACCAAGAGCAGGACTTCCACCGGACAATCACGGCCACGCAAGCCAGCGAAGCAGTGCGGGGGACCAAGGCAGAATCCTCAACAACCGTTCCATGGCACGGCGGAGACTAAGTGCGCGGTCCTGGGGTGTCCAGGACACCCGAACTCTGGACACTCCGCACGTTGGTACCACGTGCTGGCAACATGCCCGCCCACACACACGTCGCAGGGTTGCCAATGTACACTCCTGCGACATTTTTGCACGAACCTACTTCCGAAGTGTTGTCGGGGCAACCTGCAGCCGAGGGGGTGGTTTTTAGGGAATCGTGAGAAGCCTGGGGCTGTCAAAATTATTTGGCGCACTGGAAAAAAAAACAATCCCCATAGATTTTAATAATGTTCAGGTTTTATTTTTCCAGGATTCCCCAACGCGCGAGTTTTGTCGAGTCGGATGTTGCATTTTCTGGGGTGCGCCCTGGTGTTTCTTTCACACCCAGGTTGTCGCAGCAGTTCGATCGTGCGCGAATTTCATTGGTACACGAGTCCAGGTGTACAAGGGGCAGGGTCTGCCCCTGCGACGAGTGGCACGCGTTGCCTATCCCCATACGGTGACTTTCCAGGTCAGCATGTCCCAGGACACCCCAGGACCGCGACCTAACCCCCGCGCGCGCCTGCAACAGCGTACAACCTCGAGACATCCATGCGGTCCCTCTGCTGGTCAGTGAGCGCCCCGCTGCACCGTTTCTCCACTGTCGTCCCTCCCCTCCTCCCCTCGGCCCTGCTCATGGGATGTTGGAGTTCCGTTCAGTCATGCTTCCTCCCTTCATCTTTTGCCCAGCCGGTCAGACGAGCGCATAGAGCAGTAATATCTCCCTCCTGCCCGTGCGAGTGTGCGTGGTTGGGACAGTGCCGGGCAGGGCATGCAGGGGGTAGCCAAAATAGCGATCCCCAGCGTCATCCAGTGTTGCCAGCCTGCGCTTCAGCGAATCCTTCACTCGTGCCTACTTCTCAGCTGCGCGTTTGGTTTTTGCAGAGATTTCGTTGTCAGTTTGCATACCAATTGCAAACCACGCACAAACGCAATAAGGTTCTTCTCAAGTTTACAGGACCGAGTAAGAAGTAGGCCAAGAAAACCATTGTGGAATGTTTCTAGTCGAGTAGATTTTAGGATATCGAATCGCGTGATGGCAACAATAGCCGGTCCCGTTTTAGACGCAGCAGATCCCGGATTCCGCCTCTTCGGTAGATTAATCGACAACGGTAGCGCTCCCAACTCGCCCGCCGCATCCCAGCCGTTGATGTGCGACGCAAATCAATCTCCGCCGTCGTCTCATCGTGAAGGGCCTCGACCCCGTGCCGTACAAAACGTTATTCCCGACTCCGCGATTTGCCAGGCTACAAATGACTTTCGCAGAACCTCTGCCGCCGCCACTGCGACAGAGAATAGAGGAGAGGAGCGGGACGACGCAGAGGGGAACGACCGGGAGGAGGAGAGCTCCGAGTCCCAAGGCGCGTCGGCGGAGCGGGCGAAACAGGAAGAGCAGGAGCGGGAGCAGCAGCAGCAAGAGGGGGAGGGGCAGCAGCAGGGCGGCGAGTTGAAGCGTCCAACCACCCCGCTGCCTTGTCCCCGTTGCAAGAGTCTCGCTACCAAGTTTTGTTACTTCAACAACTACAATCCGAACCAGCCGCGCCACTTCTGCCGAGCCTGCCAGCGCTACTGGACAGCCGGCGGAAATTTGCGAAACGTGCCCGTGGGTTCCGGTCGGCGAAAAAGCAAAGTCGCGCTACACCCGCAACAGCAACAGGGTAACCAGCAGCACCAGGCGTCGCATCAGGACGCTCAGGCTCAAGCTCTTGCGCCCGGCGATCCAGCCGCCGGCGTCTCGCCAGCAGCGCTGCTCGCCGCAGCTGCGGCGGCGGCGGCGGCAGCGACGGCAGTCCATTCACCTGCCGTAGCGGCAGCCAATCCGTTGATGCCAGGTGTCGCCAGTCCCTTTCTCTCTGCTCTTCCTGGCGCGTCCCACGCTCTCTCCGTGCCCTCTGCGGCTTTGCCCGGAGGCTACGGTCTTCCCCCCGCCGCGCTTTCTCCGCACGGAGCTGCCGCCGCCGCCCTTTCCCCGCTGCCCCCCAGTGGCGCAGCGATTCCCCAGGCAGATCTCTTGCGCCAAGGCGTTCCCCCATACTCCCCGGGTCTCTCCGCGGGTCTTTCCCCCGCCAATGTGGCAGCGGCGGCGGCTGCGCGGACCATGGCGCTGGCGGCGGGCGCGGGACACGTCCCTGCGGGGATCTTTCCGGGGATGGGCGGAATGGGCATGGGCATGGGGGGCGCTTCTTCCGAGTACGCGGCTGCGGCTGCTGCTGCAGCTGCAGCGGCGGCGGCGGGGCAAGGAATGCCCTCCGCTGCTGCGGGCCAGGAAATGGCGTCTGCGGTTGCAGCAGCTGCCGCCGCCGCAATGGCTGCTCAAGCTGCTACCGCGGGTTCGGCTCTTCAGCCGTTCTCTCAGTTCCAGATGCAACAGTTTCTGCACCTTCAGCAGCAGCAGCAGCAACAGCAGCACCAACAGCAACAGCAACAGCAGCACTACCAACGGCAGCAGCTACAGCAGCTTCAGCAACTGCAGCAGCAGCAACAGCAATTGCAGCAGCTGCAGCAGCAAGCACACCTCGGGCCTTCCCTTGCTGCTGCGTCCTTGCTCTCTCCCTTCTCCCCCTCTCCGTATAGTCACCTCGGCCAGTGGCCCTACGCCTCGCCACAAGCACATTGGCCTGGATCCGCCTCTGCTTCGGGTTTCCCTGATGCAGCCGCGTTCTCTGCCGCCGCCGCCGCCGCCGCTGCTGCTGCAGCTGCGTCGGCAAGCAGTGCAGGTGCGGCTGCTGGTGCTGGAGCTGCTGGTGGGGCTGGTGTGGGCGCTGGTGTGGGCGCAGGGGGTTTCCCAGGGTGGCCGGACCAGGCAACGATGGCAGCTGCAATGGCCGCTGCAGCAGCTGCAGCTGCGTCTGCACCGGCAGTGGGAGCACCCGCACCAGCAATGGCACCACCAGCACCAGCAATTGCAGCACCAGCACCAGCACTGGCAGCAGCGGCACTGCATGCGCTACCAACACCACAAGTGCTCCCAGTGCCTGGGTCGTCTGGTTCTGGCGCCGCTGCTGCCCCTCTTTCCTCCTTGCCTTCCGCCGTCGTCCCCCTTCCTGCAGGCCCCTCGCTCTCTCAACCAGGATGTGCCATGACTGTTGCAGCAGCAGGAGCGGCAGCAGCAGCACCAGAAGCAGCAGCAGCCACAAGAGCAGGAGCAGCAGTAGCAGCAGGAGCGGATGGAGCAGAGAGGATGGAGACGCAGCAGCGAATGGCATGGCTGGCTGGTGCGTCTGGTGGAAGCACGGGCACGGGATCAGGACAGGCAGTTGAACACGGAACCGAATGGGAACACTTTCGTGCTGCAGCTGCCACAGCTGCTGCTACTGTTGCACCTGTGGCAGGCAGGCAAGGAGGGTCAGACTACAGTCGAGCTGTCCCTCCTCTGCCCCTTCTCCCCCTGCAGTCCGCCTCTGGTTCCACCTCCCCTCCGCTCCTGCATCAAGCGCTTGTAGCTTCTGGCGCTGCTGCTTTGCCCCCTACCTCTGCTACAGTCCCTGCAACCGTCCCTGCGACAGCTGCTACTCAAGCTGCGGCTACAGCTGCCGGGCAGCACAAGAGGCCACTAGGCAGTGGTGGTAACCAGATGGTGGACTATCTTGGCAGGAGCCCTCCTGAGCAGCAGCAGCAGCTTGGGGTTGGGGGGGAGGAGCCTGCTGCAAAGAGGCTGTGCTTGGGGGCTTCTGGAGGTGATGTGGGAGATGATGGAAAGGACAAGGCTGGGCAAGAGGGTGTTCATAGTAGGAAGTTCCTCAAGGCGAACCCTGTAGCGATGATGAGATACATGGTGTTCCAGGCTAATGGTTGATTGGGCAATGTGTGCCTTGTGTTTGCCATTCTTGTGTGTTGCTGAAACAAGTTCACTGTGAACTTTAGTCCCTGACTGAAGGTGCAGAACTTCCAGAACACAAGAACCAAGTTCCATGCAAACTCACTCCTATTTGTCCGCTCCATTCCTCTTACCTAAATTCAAGGCTCCACCTCTCTTCCAGGAGCACCACACACGTCCTGAAGTGGATGGACTGGTGGAAGTGGGTCTGGCGATGACTCGAGAGGGCAAAATCAGATGACTGGGTGAAAAGGGGTGTTCCGAGAATTGAACTCGGGACCTCTCGCACCCTAAGCGAGAATCATGCCACTAGACCAAACACCCGTGGTCGAGAAGAAAACAAGTAAATTTCGATCAAATTAAACAAACAAACCGCAGCTCGATTTTGCAGTTTCGCCAGACGAACCAAGCGACCCGCCGCCCTTTGCCAAACCTGCCGTGTCGCACGTCGGTCGCCACACCCCTCGCTCCACAAACTTGATTGGTCAGACCAAACCCGCTGGCCCCGTCTGCTTGGTCCGGAAAAAAGGATGGGGACCGCAGATCCCGAGACCACCAGAACGGTCTCGCCCGCCTCGTGACGCGAGCCTCGTTGCGAGTGGGGCCTGGAGAGTGTCGGATGAGGAGGATTCTAGGATTCGGACTTCGAGGCGTTCAGGCTCTAGTAGTTGCTGGTTTGTGTGAAGTGTGCTGTCTGATAGTATGCTCGGATAGAAGTGTCCAATCATGAAATTCTCTTGAGCTGGCTCCTGCGCTCCCTGCTGGCTTCACAAGGTCACTTATGAGTCATGCGGCTTCATGTTATGTAGATTTTGCGAGCCTCCATTATCCTGCTTCACTGACGCTGGTCGCTGTCTTTAGCCTGCTCAGATGACTTTCCCCGTCTCATCTTAATTAAGTTATCGCGTTGATTCCTCAACAGGCAGACGGTATGGTTGCAGGAGCCGTAGCGACTTGCGTGTCCTGAACCTGATAACGCTATCCCATTGGCTGAACCGCTCCTAGGTACACGAAAGGGATGGCTGCAGGAATCGTAGCGGATTGCAGTGGCGCAGGGACTATCGGCCCTGGGGAGCCGTCGCCTTTTGGATGGCCGCTGAACACTCTCGCTCGTGACGTGCCGGATCGCCCTAACTTATCGATCGACGCAGCGAGGCGACGCAGTAGGGTTAGAGATGAGTCCGATTGGCCTCGCGAAAGCGGGGTTGGCGAAAGGGTGGCTACGCGTGGCACGCAGGGATGGGATGGCCAGCGCAAGCAGTCTTCACGTGGCGATTCTCAACGCGAGGGTGATGGTTCAGACATGTCGAGAGGGCGGAAGCGATACAGGTGCGTGCGACGACAGGTGTGCATCGGATATGCGACAGGTTTGTGACAGGTATGCGACGGATATGCGGGTGTGGGATTCTTGATGTGGGGTGGCACTTGTGCGATTCTTTGGTTCCCTTATCAGTTCACCGCGCACTTTCGGCACCTCCTTCCGAGTCGCGTCCACTTCCAATCTCCCTTTCCCCGTACCCTTTGGTTTATCCCCGTGTCTGTCCCGCCTATCCCGCGTGGCCTTATCCCTGTGCCTGTCCTCGTTGCTCTCGTGTGTTTCCTGGTTCCTCACCCCACCATCTGCAGCTATCAGGAGTTCAACCCTCCCACCCCCCGTGCTCCCCGTCTCGCCCGAACCACCCCTCCCCCGGCACCTCCCCCCAACGTCCCTCCGCCCCTTGCCATTCCCATCCCCTTTCTCAACTTGCGCCCACGTTCCCGCTCCCCCAATCCCGCGCGCTCCGCCTCCCCCTCTGGCGCGCGCTCCCGCTCCCGCTCCCGCTCTCGGTCGCGCTCCCCTCACCGCCCCTGGCGCTGGTTCTCCGCCGGCGCGGAAGACTCCCCGCGCCAGCCCCCTTCCCCCGGCCCTGCCCCCGACCCGGGGGGCGCTGTTCCCGCCGCCGCTGCCAGCGCAGGCGCAGGCTCCGCAGGTCCTTTTTCCGCGGCTGCTGCCCGAGTGACGAGCTTCTTCACTCGGCCTCACTTCCGAAGCAGTTCTCCAGGTCCGGTCCGAACCAGGGCGCCCGAGCCTGTGGCGGAGGTATGGGATTATCCCGCACCTGCAACGAGAGAGCTGGTGTCGTTTCGTGAGCTGGTGGCTGGAGCGAGAGAGAGGACGCACGCTAAGGCACAAGCGGAGAATGCTACTAACGCGGATTTGTTCTCAGGCGAACCAGCGAGACACCAGCATGTGGAATCGAATCCGCGTAACCTTATAGCGGGTACAAACGCGGACAATTTGACCGGATCTTCGATAGAGCCTGTAGAGCGTTCAATTAGGGCAACAAAAAATCCCCCTTCTATTCCACCACTTTCAGCGTATAGCGGGGATAACGAGGACACAAACCCTAGCAGCGACCCGTACTACGTGCCTGGTGGCAACTGCTACGATAGCTTCCAAGCTGCCAGCGCGGAGAAGCGGAAACCTGCGGAGGAACGGCGGCAGCGCGGGAAAACACGGACTGGAGGTGGGGAAGCGGCGGATGTAGCAAGGGCTGGCGGCGGTAGTGGCAACGGCGGTGGTGACAGCGGTGGCGTGGGCCCCAGCAGCGATCCGTACTATGTGCCTGGTGCCGCTTATTACGACAGCTTCCAAGCCGCCAGCGCGGAGAAGAGGAAACCTGCGGAGGAACGGCATCAGCGCGGGAAGACACGGGTTGGTGAGGATGCGGATGTAGCTAGGCGTGGCGGCGGTTGTAGCAGCGGTGGTGTTGGGCCGAGCAGGAGAGCGGGGGTTGCAGGTGCAATGGAGAGGGGTGAAACTGGGTGGGAGGAGGGGTGGGAGGAGGCGAGGGAGGTGTTGCGAGATGGTGAGCGGAGAGAGATGGTTGGGGATGGTGAGCGGAGAGTGGTGGTTCCGGAAGGGAAGCAGGAAGGGCTGTCCCCGGACAGGCGGCAAGATGGGTTGCTGTCCCCTGATGGTGCCAGTGCCAGTTCTGACAGCCACATTGACGCGTCCTCCCCATTGCCGCTCCCCCAAGCCTACCTTCCAAACGCTGACTATGCGGGCTATGCTGGCTATGGCGGGTATGCAGGGTCTGGCAGCTGCGGGAGTGACTCTTCCCCCACCATGTTCCCCTCTCACGATCCCGCGCGCCACCCTCTCTCTGACCAGCGCTCGGATGCTCCCCCACTTGACTCGCAGCAGCACCACCCGCTCTCCCACCGCCCACACGCTTCCCAGCACCAGCAGCAGGAGCCGCGGCCGCATCAGCAAGGCTACCAAGGCCTCGCCCACCAGCAACAGCAGCAGCAGAAGCAGCAGTTGCAGCACAGCGCCCCGCCAGCAGCTGCCTATCTGCTGCGCAAGACGCCCTCCGCTCTCAATCGCTTCTCCCTGCCGCGGAAGCCGGGAGAGGAGGACGAGGCGGAGCACGCCCGGGGCATGGGGTCTAAACGCCACGCGGAGAGCGGGCTTGCGCGGATGAACAGTAGAGATGGCAGCCGCAGAGGGCAGCAGGGGTATGCGCAGGAGCAGCAGTGGAAGCAGGAGCAGCAGTGGAAGCAGGAGCAGTGGGTGGAAACTGCGGGGCAGAAGGGGAAAGGCGAGGAGGTGGGAGGGGAGCGGAAAGGTGGGGTGGAGAAGGGGGATGGAGTGAGCGAGATGCCGTTCCATGAGATCGTGGCGGGAGCAAGGCTGAGGTCTGACTCCTCCCTCTCCCTGTCGCATAAATCTCTCTCCATATTATCACATAAGTCCCTCTCGGTACCGTCAGACGCATCGGGCGAGCAACAGCCGCCTGCAGCAGCAGCAGATTCTCAAGCACAGTCCGATTTAGCCTCTCATGCCTCCTCCCACTCCCACTCGCTCCCTCACTCTCACTCCCACCCCTCGCTCCCCCACGCACACCAACCGCCCCACTGCCACTCGCTCCCTTCCAGCGGCTCCCTCTCGTCAAGCAGCCTGTTACACGCCCCCAGCAACGGGTTACCAGCACCTAGCGCCGTCCTGCCGTCCAGCGGCTCTCTCCCCGCGTCTCTACCCCCCTCTCTCTCCACCAGCGGCGCTATCCCCGCGTCTCCCCCTGGCAGTGGTCCCACTGCCTTCCCCCCATCCGCCCAACCTGCGTCCGCTGCTGACGTGGCTCCGTCCCTCGTCTCATTCTTGCCTCTCCCCCTCAGCTCCTATAGTGAGGGCGGGTTGGAGGGGGAGGAGGGTGCAGGCGGGGGGGAAGGGGGAGGGAAGGGGGGAAGAGGAGGAGCGGGGGAGATGGAGAGGAAGTGGGAGGGGGAGAGGATGCGGAAGGAAGGCGTTGGGGAGGAGAGGGCGGGAGAATTGACGAAAGGGCTCGATGGGAGGAGGGCGGGGCTAGCAGGAGGGGCCCTGGATGGCTGGTCGAGGGGCAGGAGGAGAGGGACGACGGAGATTGAAGAGGTGGTGGAGGGGGAGGGGGAGAGGGCGGACGGGCAAGGAGGGGGGTGGGGAGAGGGGGCGGGAGGAGGGGGAGAGGGGGTGATGAGGTGGGCGAGGAGGGAGCACGGGAGGGACTTGTCGAAGGGCGACAGATGGGCTGCGGAGGGAGGGATGGGGGGCAGCAGGTGCATGAGGACGAAGACGACCCTTGGATGCAGCGCCTGGGGCTGCTTCAGGTGAAACCTCAGGTGGAAGCTCAGGTGGAACCAACAGAGCATGCAGACGTGCATGTGAGCGGGAAGGAGCACAGGGAAGCAGTGCCAGGGACTGAGGAGGAGGAGCAGGAGGAGGGGGGGTACACGGGAAGGAGTGAGAGGCTGGAGGAGAGACAGAGGCGGTATGAGGAGGGGCTTTGGCGGGCGGAGGCAGAGCATCAAATGGTGGCTGTGCGGGGCAGAGAGGGAGTAGAGGTGGGGCTGATGCAGGGGACGGGCGGAGAGCGAGGTAGGGAGCAGCATGGTGCTGCTGATGCTGGGTCCCGTGCTGGTGGTGCCGCTTATGGCGCTGATGCTCATGCTGATGGTGCGAGTGGTGGCGCTAATGGTTGTGTTGGTGGTTACAACAGTGGGATGGATGAGGAGCGCTACGCCGGGCCATCCAATGATGTGAAAGAACGCAGCAGAGACGTCTCCAATGGCGCAGGCGCATCAGATGGCGCCGATGCCGCCGCTGCTGCTGCTCCTGCTGCTGTGGCTCCCATGGTTGTACGTGCATCTGGAGATGCTGCTGCTGCGGCTGCTACAGCAGCGGTTCCCATGTTTATGTATGCGTCAGAGCCAGCGGATCTCGAGCCTCATGCCATGGGCGCCCCACCTGACCTGCTGCCGCCTGCACAGAGAGCCAAGGGGCAACATGGCTTGGGTTACCACCAGCACAGCGTTACTCATCCCCACACACCAATACACCCATCGAACCCCACCACCGTTCTGCACACTGCTCAATCGCACTATACTCATTCTCACACTGCTCACTCTCACGCTTCTCACGCCCATACCGTTCACGCACACATGCATACCCACTCGCAGCTGCTCTCGCCCGCACACCCCCAGTCACACGCCCTGCTCCCCACCAGTCCCCCCAGCGACCCCTTCACTCCCCTGCCTGCTGCTCTGCGCGCTGGGCTGCTCAGGCGACTCAAAGAGGCCGACTCTGCTGCCCCCCTCAAAGAGGTCAGCCTTTTCACTGCCACTGTCGGCCCTGCCATCCCTGCTGCTGCTGCTGCTGCTGCTGCTGCTGGTGCTGGTGGTGGTGCTGGTGGTGCTTCTACCAGCGCTGCTGGCATTGGTGGCACTGGCGACACGGGTGGCGCTGGTGCCATGGATGGGGCGGGTGGAGGTCCCCTTATAAGCAGGTCCGTAAAGGGAATTCTGTGTCGGACTAAGGTGCTGAAAGCAGAAGCGGGAGGGGGCAGGGAGGAAAGTGCTACTGAAGGTGCTGCTCGTGTTGCTGGTAGGGAGCGTGCCAGTGCTGATGGCGCTGGCGAATCCGCTGCTGCTACTGCCGACGCTGATGCTGACGCTGCTGCCGAAGCTGATGCCAATGCTGATGCTGCTGCTGCCAAGGCTGGTCTTCTCCCGCCGAGCCTGGTCGAGGCTGTGTTCAAGCCTGGCGCCCTGGGCCGGGTGGCCACAGCCTACCGCTACAGAGGAGGGGGCGACTTCCTGTTTCGCACCCTGGCCACGCTACAGCCGGAAGGGGAGGAGAGGCAGGGGGAGGGGGAGCGGAAGGGGGAGCGGGATGGGGAGGGAGAGAGGAATGCGGAGGGAGCGAGGGAGGTGGGTCAGGGTGGAGGAAATAGTGGAGCAGGGAGCATTGATGCATCTGCTGCTGCTGCTGCTGCTGCTGCTGCCGCTGCTACTGGCTCCGCTGCTGCTGCTGCTGCTGCTGCTGCTGCTGCTGCTGCTGCTGCTGCTGCTGCTGCTGATGCTGAGGTAACTGGAGAGCAGCAGAGCAGAGCCAGGGACAGCCAGAGGGCTGTAGGCGCGGACGGGAAGGGGGAGAAAGGAGAGACGGAGAGAGAAGGGAGGGGTAGGCGGGAGGGAAGGGAAGGGAGAGAAGGGAGGGAGGGAGGCGGAGGGGGAGGAGGAGGACGCGTGTGACTATGAAGAGGAGGCGAGGGCTGTGGCGCTCTCTCTCTTCGGCTTCCCCCACACTCTCAACGACTTTGGAGGTCTTCTAGAGGGCGACGGGCTGGCACACGGGTCCGGGCAGAGGGAAAAGATCCAGGAGCTGCCCGGGCGAGGTGGTGGCAGGAGCGGGGGAGCAAGAGCGGGGGATATGGAGGTAAGGGATGGGGAGAGAAGGGCAGAAGAGAGGTGGGGGAAGAGAGGCGAAAGGGGGGAGGCAGGGGAGGAGCCAGGGGAGGGGGGCGAGAGGGCAGGTAGAGGGGAGGAGGAAGGGGGCGAGGGGGGAGAGAGCGCGGTGCAGCAGAGCTTGAGGCAGTTGGAGCAGGCGCTGGCAGCGGGGAGGATGCCTGTAGATGCTGCTGCGCTGCGCCATGAGCTGCTGCTGCTCATGGGGGGAGGCGCAGGGCGCGCGGGGGAGGGGGGGGGAAGCCGGGGGGAGATGGGGGGAGGCAGAGGGGAGATGGGGGCAGGCCTGAGGGAGATGGAAGGGAGCAGGGGGGAGTTGGAGGGAGGCAGGGGGGAAGTGGGGAATGGGGAGATGGGGGTGACGATGGGGGGACAGGGGGAGGAGAGGGTGGTGGGCGTGGGGGCGAGGGGGCGAGGCAGGTGGGAGGTGAGGGGTGAGGGGATGGATCAGCGGTGGGAGGGTGGGAGGGAAGAGGGGGAGAGTGAGGGAGGTGGAGGGAGTGAGGGGGGTGGAGAGGAGGAGGAAGAGTATGGATTGGAGTTGTGGAGGGACGACAGCAGTACAAACGCCACCACTGATGCCGATGCTGCCGCTGTGGCTGCCACTACTGCTGCCGCTCCTGCTGCTGCCAGTGCTGCGGCTGGTGCACAGGGTAGGGGTGAGGGCAGAGGGGAGGGCAGAGGGGAGGGTGTTGTGAGCAATGAGTGGCGACAGGAGGCACTGGCACTTGAGGCGAGAGAGGAGAAGGTGCAGAGTGGGGAGGGCGAGGGGGAGATGGTGGCAGCAGGGTGGGGAAGCGAGGGAGGGAGAGAGGGAGTGAGTGAGGGAGCGAGTGAGGGAGGGGAGGAGGAAGATGAGGAGTGGAGTGACGAGGACATGCGGGCTTTGGAGCTGCTGCGAGGGGGCGCCACAGTGCAGCCCGTGCAGCCCGTGCAGGCAGCAGCAGGGGGCGAGGAGCCCGCAGGCCTCTCTCCTGCTCATCGCCCTGCCTCCGCTGCTGGCTCTGCTGCAGAGTGGCCATCGGTACGGGCAGGAGGAGGGGCAGGGGGGTTGTCGTCGGCGTGGCACTGGTTGCAGCAGGTGGAGATGGCGGAGGCTGATGGGCACGTGCCCGTGGCGCTGCAGCTGTTCGATCTCGCAGACAAGTGTGATGCTCAGGTGGGTGGGTGGGTAAGACAAGAATGTAATGCGTGCCATGCAGGACTGCCATGCCATGTGTGATGTGCCATGTGCCTCTGTGATCGGCTGCGTGTTGAGCCGTGAACCTCTTTCAGTGGCGCCAGTGTCCCTCCCTTCTCATCTTGTTGTCCCCCATTGCTCGCATCGCAGCCTGCCTCGGCTCTCATCGCTGCACGCGCTGCCTTCATGCAACGACACGGCCTGCTGCCCGCTCAGCATCAACATCAACACGCGCAGGAACACGGGCATGAACACGAGCAGGAGGATGCGCATGGGCATCAATATCAACATCAAGTGGAGCACGAGCATGCGGCCAGTGATGCATCTGTTCCTGCTGTTCCTCCGGCCAAGTCACAACCCACTGCTACGCCAAGTGAGGTACAGCAGCCCAGCGCTGTGCAGAATGCAGGCACTGCAGCAAGTACAGGAAAACCGGCCTCGCCAGCAGCAGCAGCGGTTTCTGAAAAGTCCACTGGGTTGTCCAAAGATCCCACCACACCCCTGTTGAAGGAAGGGAGCACCGCAGCAGAGCCAATAGCAGCAGCAGCAACAGCAGCCGCTGCTTTCCCCCCAACTGACCCCACCACGCTCTCTTCTCCACCCTCCCCGTCCTCTCCCCTCAGCATGCCTCCGCCTGACCCTTCCGCCCTCCCCTCTCCCCAACCTGCACACTCGCCCCTCCCCCTGCCCCCCCGCCTGGCGCCTGTGCTGCGCCCCTGCCGCTCCGCCCACCACCTCATGGCTGTGTATGACCTGGAGGGGCAGCTGGTCAATGGGGAGGCGTGTGGGAAGTGGGAGGGGGGACGAGTGGGGAGGGTAGTGGGGAATTGGGAGGGTGGGAGGGTGAGAGGGGCAAGGGAGAAAGTGTTGACGGGGAATGGGAAGCAACGGCTGATGGAAGGGCGGCAAGAGCAGAGGGAGGGGTTAATGTGAGGGATGCAGGAGGGGGAGGGGCGAGTGTGGGAACTCCATCCCCTGTAAGGGCTTGGAGTCGAGGGGCACGAGAGAGAGAGATGCAGGGTGGAGCAAGGGCAGAACCGAGAGCAGGTGGAGTGGAGGAGGGTGGAAGTGGGGGGGGAGCACAGCAGCATTCGGTAGCGAGGGAGGGAGATGAAGCACGTGGCATGCAGATGAGTGCTGCAGAGGTCACAAAGAGCTCATATGATGGTGCTGGTAACATTCCGAGCATACCCAGCACAGCAGCATTCGGTAGTCCATTCAAGGCAGGAGCTGCAGGAGAAGGAGTGGGACGAGCAGGAGCAGGAGCCGCGTCAGGCTCTCCCGCCCGGCCCCCCTCCTCTGCTCTGTCCCCCATAAAGCCGTCCTCAATAAACGCAGCGGCAGGGGCGTCGGCAGCAGCAGCATCAGGTGGAGTGGGGTACGGGCCGTCTCCCTCTGCCTCGCCCTCGCCTGCTCGTGCTGCCCGCACGGCCCTCTTCTTTGAAACTGTCAAGAAGGCTGCAGGAGCAACGGCGGAGGCAGCGGCGGCGGAGGGGAGTGGCGCTGCCAGGGATAGGTTGGCGTTGAGGGAGGGGGTGAGTGCAGGGCGAGGCGGGGTGGGGGGAGAGGGTGGAGTGTCAGGTGTGGTAAGGAGTGGGGAAGGGTTGGAGAGCAGCAGTTCTGGGGTGAGGGGTGGGAGTTCATGTGTGGGAGGTGGGTATTCAGGGGTGGGAGGGGGCAGTTCTGGGGTGGGGGTTGGGAGTCCCAGTGTGCTGGAGAAGCTGAGGCGAGCCAAGGCTCAGCTGATGCAGCTGCAGCAGAACTACCTGAGGGACCCGCCACCGCACTCCACTGCCTCGTACTCCTCCGCACCTTCAGGTGCTACCACTGGGAATTCACCCTCGCTGCAGCTTCAGCCAGATGTGAGTAGAGCAGAGGGTGGTTCTGAATCTGCTCAGGTGGGAACAGCAGCAGCAGGGAGAGAAGGCACAGGGGCACCGGGAAGGGGAACAGCAGCAGAAGCTATTGAGGAAGCCACAGCAATGGCAGCAGCAACGAGAGGTACTGGAGGGAGAGCAGCAGAGGGGGCGGTTAGGTGGAGGAGCAGGAGCAGCAGGAGCAGGCACTGGTGTTAGTGTAGGCTCTGAATCCCCAGCCTCTTCCCCCCACATCATCTCCCTCCCTTCCTCCGCCTACTCCCACGCCTCCTCTGCCCCTTCCCCTGGCGTCATCACCCCCTCTCTCTCGACCGCACCCCCAGTAGTAGTGCTCAGAGCATGCGCTCCGAACCTGACCCGCTCCTGCTGGGACCCACCCCTGCCCGAACAGACGTGGCTCGGTATGAGAAGGCTCGGAAGGGCCTGCCGAGCCTGGATGAGGAGGCGCCGATTGGTGGATGGAGTTCGGACGAGGGTGCGGGGAGGAGTGGAGGGGATAGAACAAGAGACAGAGCAAGAGACAGAGCAATAGACAGAGCAATAGACAGAGCAAGAGACAGAGCAATAGACAGAGCAATAGACAGAGCGCGGGAGGGGAACGAAGCGGGAGCAGAAGAAAAGGGAGAGGCAGGAGGAAAAGAGGGGAGGAAAGAACGTAATGGTGGGGAGGAGGCAGGGGGGGGAGGCGGCTTGAGCGTACGAGCTGTGTCTCCTGTGAGAGGGGGATGGAGCAGAGGGTCGGGAGGCATTGCGAGGGCAGGAGGGTCAGCTGGAGAAGGAGCAGCAGCGAGTGGTGTGAGGCCAGACGATGGGGGTGTGAGGCCAGACGATGGGGGTGTGGGAGCAGGAGGGGGAGACGGAGGAGAAGCAGGATCAGGATCAGACGGGAGGGGAAGAAGGGGAGGAGCAGGTGAAGGAAAGGAAAGAGGAGGGGATGGGGCGATGGATGCGGCAAGTACTCAGCCTATGGCGTGGAAATCAGGTGAGGAGAGGGCTGTGAGGGCGAGCATACTCAGAAACTTTGGAGTGCTGTTGATTCAGGGGTGCTTGGCCTCGGAAACGTTGAGGTGCTCGTGCTTATGCTCTTCTCATTACAAGGATGTATTGTGTATCTCCTCTCTCCCACCCATCAACCTCCCACAGGAGCCAATCAGGGCATGACACTCCAGCAGCGAATGAGAGCGAGGAGGGAGGGAGCACAAGGAGGAGGGGGAGGGGGGGCTGCAGCAGGGAGGAGGCGGCAGTGGGTGAGGTGAAAAATTGATAAAGCTAAGGGAAGTGGCAGAGACAATAAGGCCGAGAGACAGGGATGAAGGTGCTATTCTGTAATTTAAATAGGGCATGTCTTATGCCCTGCAGGTCCGACATTGCTAGAACAACTGTTAATATCCATCACTAATAACAATTGTCGATTTTTTGATATTGTTGACTTGTTCCAGAATACAGGCTTGATAAGTAGACTTAGCACGCCCTACTGCGAAAGCGGCTTACATCTTTACACAGAATAAAGGAGCTCAAAAACGGGAATGATTGCGTGCTTTGGGTTGGAGTCTGTTCTTCTCTCACAGGTATTTCCATTTATCCAGTTCATCGGTCATGGATACTCTCCTAGTAGGAGAGAAGTATTGGTGGCTTGATTGACGCGCATTTCGCGAAGCGTGTTTCAATCTCACTGCATTATTTACGTTATTTGGCACGTGTCAGCCGTATTAGTTATTTGGCTTCAACCAGCGTTCCTCCATGGCATCGCGCTCCAGTAACGAACGGTCCAGTAGCGGGTTGTCGGAGATCATTTTCTTAGGAACAGGGTCGTCAACGGGAGTCCCGACTCCCCTTTGCGTCACACAGCCGACCGACCCGCCATGTGCCGTCTGCCACAAGGCGCTCGCGGAACCGCCGGAACGAAACCCGAACTACCGGTAATGAGCGTATTCGGGCTTCTGGTGATTGCTTGTAACATGCGTGCTGGTTACCGCCGTTCGCCGAGTTTGTAACCGTTTATCGCGTCGCTTCTGTCCCTTCTCGCATTCCAGGATGGCGAGAATTTAACTTCGTCTGTAATTTGCTTGTAACATGCGACCTGCTGGTAACATGCTTTTGCGGTTTCCTCGACTGCAGATGCAACCCGTCGCTCATGATCCGATACCGGTTCCGATCTTATACGGCGGATGGAGGTGTGACTGTACGCAGTGATCTCGCAGACGAGGGTTGTGGTTCCAATGGAATGGCCCAGCCGAGTTCCAGAGAGGCGGCCAATGGCTCAGGTGGTGTTTCCGCACTCCTGACTGAATCAGTCAATCTAACGGATTCTGTCAAGCTGACGGATTTCGTCAGCCTGGATCTGGCTCCTGGCGAGGAGTGGCGGCACATTCAGATTGACGCGGGCAAGTGTTTTCGGGAGCAGGTGCTGCGGTGGTTTGTGCGCTGCAAGATACCCACCATTGATGCGGTATGGCTTGCATTGCAAATTACCCAACGTTCATGGGGTATGGATGCATGATGCCCACCATTCACGCAGTATGGCTTGTAACAGATATATCCATAGAGGGTACTAGGGCTGCTGCTGCTGCAGAAATTGACCTATCCACCCACCCATACAACGATGCCCCTTCCGAGGCGTCTCTTCTCTCTTGATATTGTTCTCTCCTTAGTCAGCCTGACTGGATTTCCCCAATGCTCCTCCCCTTCCCATCTCTTCCCTGCCACACCTTCGTTCCGACTCACCCAGACTCGCCTCGTCCCCCCGCCATTCCCCTTTCTCCTCCACCGCCTCTCCCACCCCCCTTCTTTCACTACAGCTGATTCTCACGCACGAGCATGCTGACGCCATACTGGGCCTGGATGACGTCAGAGGGCTGCAGCGCATTCCCCGCCATGCAGCAGACCACGTGGAGCCCCTCTCTGTCTTCCTCTCCCAGCGCTGCATGGCCAGGTCAGCGAGCTGCATGGCCAGGTGTGACGAGCACCGCTTTTGTTTCGGATCCTGATGTTTCCGTACCCATTTTGAGATGTTCTGTCCGTACCCACTGATGACGGTTCCGTACCTGTGTTCTTTTTCTGTCGCGACGTCACCAATGCACATCCGTCTATCTATCCCGGTCCCTCTCTCTCTTCCCTCCCTGTCGTTCTCACTTCTCTTGCCCCCTCGCCCCCACCTTCCCGCCCCCCTTCCCCCCACCCACAAACAGTGTTCGAGACAAATTCCCTTACCTCACTCTCACGCCCCCTCGCCCTGCTCCCTCGCTCCAGCCTCTCTCCACTGCCCCACCTTCTGCTGCCGCTTCTGCTGCGACTGCTGCTGCTACTAGTGACCAACCATGTGGAGTGATCCGGGATGATTCACTTGAGGGAAGAGTGGCTGATGCAGGGGGGATGAAGGAGGGAGGAGACGGGGGCGTGAAGAAAGTATCTCGGCGGGTGTCTCGAATCGACTGGCAGATCATTCAGCAGAGTGTTGCTGCTCCTTTTAACGCGGCTGGTCTGACAGTCACTCCCCTTCCTGTATGGTTCACATGCGTCCATGCCCCTTGCACACATGCGTCCATGCCCCTTGCGCACATGCATCCCTGCCACTTGCACAGATGCTGCCTGTACGGCATCGCTGTTCCCATGTTGCAGCATTACTATCACGTGCCATGCACGATCCATTCTGCACCATACTTATCTGCATACCATGCACGATCTGCATACTATGCACTATCTGCATACCATGCACTATGCGTTCTGCACCATAACTACCATGCAACATGCTGTGCAGGTGCAACACGGAGAGGACTACATAGCATTGGGGTTTGAGTTCGGAAGCCATGACCGTGTGGTCTACATGTCAGATGTCTCAAGGATCCCAGATGCCACTCTCGCATGTACGTTCCAACCACCCTCTTTCACGCATTTTGCGGCGCCACAAAAGCTGCCATGATCATCTGCTGCACATGTCAGATGTGTCACGGATCTCACACACTAAGCTTGCCTGTACAAATCAACCTCCATGCATTTGCCATCCATGCTCTCTGGAATTCTGGCAATAAAGCTCACATACATGCTCTCACATACATGCTCTCACATGCATGCTCTCACACACATGCTCTCACATGTGTACACTCTGCTGCCCGGTTTTCCTCCCCTGCACCATTTTATTATTCAGACTTAAAATCCAGGCAGCAGCTTTTGGGTCAAATACACATTCTTGTTATTGACTCACTCTATTTTGTAGGTGCCCAAAGCCAATATTCATGCATGTGCCACATTCTATTCTCACATTGACTTACGAGTGCCATTGCTTTTTTCCATTAAGTTAAAATCAGATAATTGCGGTTCGCTGACACCCTGGTTGATTTTCATTCTTTGCGATATAATGTACATTATGTACATCTCGGTTTTTCTTCTTTGTGGGATGAATGTGCAGGATCACCCACATGCAACTCACTTCCATCTTCCTCAGGTGCTCTCCTCACTTGCTGTGCTCCCACCACATCCGTCTTTGTTGTGACAAGCTATTGATGTCGCGCCGTTTCATGTTCGTTTCTTGTCCCATCCTTTTTTTTTTTTTTTGGGGGGGGGGGGGGGGGGGGGCTTTTTTTTTTGTTTCTCTCCCCCCCCTTGTTGCTCCTTAACCATTTCCATCACCACACCAACAAGACTCTGGAGGCAATCCGAGATTTGAAGCCAAAGCATGCCTTTCTGGTTGGCATGACTCATGAGTTTGACCACCACGAAGTCAATTCACTGCTTCTCGACTGGTCCACCAAGTAAGATCCAATTGGAGTCACATTTGTCACAACGATACATGTGCTGGCAATATTTGCAGCAGAACTGCTACTAAATTGGCTCATTTTCATGTCCCCATTTTGACCTGCAGGGAGGACATTGACGTGCAACTAGCTCATGATGGTCTTCGAATCCCCGTGCTCCTATAACCTCGAAACTTGTTTTCTTTCACTATTGTTCTGTATAGCTATGTGTAATATGTTTTCCTTCTGAAAACTGTAGCTTACCGCGTCATGTACCGTAAGCGACGCCTTCAATCAAGCCGGAATGGATTGTGTGGGGCAGCAGAGCAGATGGTTGGTTGCAAAACTTGCGGAGGCAACGATTGCCTACGGTATACACAAGATGCCCAACCCCTGCACGCGAATTTGCCCTGCCCGCGATGGAAACTCTGCACCCGTGTATTAGGGTACCAGCCAGTTGCACCCCATTTACAAGCACCTCGAGCAATACGAACCACAAAAACCGAAGTTTGACAGAAGAGACCCATGTCAAACGGTCAACAGCGAGTTACAAAATCTTTTAAAAGCCAGTGCGAATTGACGAAAGCTTAGCGAAATGCAAGAATCACTTAAGAGCCCTCTTCACAAGGCAACCTTGGGTTAGTCAAACGGGCATCGTGTGTAGTTGAATCGAGCGCCATTCGGAGTCATGATTGCGACAGATTTATTCAGAGCTGGTTCGCTTCGATGATCAATCCGTGTCTCGGTCTGATTGCTTGTTTCACGTGATTCTTGCTCGTAACGAAGCCTGATTGGTTAAGACCTGTTCGTCACATGAACGAAATCTTGCGTGACGTCAGGACTATTTTCCCAGCAAGTCGAACGTTGTTGACTCGTGAAAGCGGAAAAAACTTTCCCCACAACCGAAGTGGTACAGTGGCACACCACACCACTTCAGTGATGCCCCATACACTTACAGTATCTGGTCTGGGGTGAAAAGCGTTCGTCTGGGTGTTTCCGTCTGGGCTTGTTTTGTTTTCTTCATTCTGCCCCAATGAGTATGACTAGATATAGCATCTGATATTCTGTCGCCAAGCCCACGTGAATATCCCTGCCCTTCAGGGAAGCACCTTGGTTGTTTAGTCCTAGCCAGGTTCATGGGCTCCATCCAAACCTGTCAAGCCAAAGAAGGGCCAACTCAGCCTCAACCACTCACAAGAGAAGCGACTCGATGAATCACGGTAGTGCTCCACGTGATACCCTGCGAAACCATTCGTCCGACCCCCATATTGCAGGAAAGCGACACGACTAGGCAGAATCCTCCGCGTCTGCGGTCCCAGAAGACAGGCGCGAACTTCGACTCTCTGTAGGTCAGAAAAGTGTATGAAGCCTATCAGCACGAGGATGGACGGACCCGATTGGTCTTGCTTGTGTGGCCAGTATCTAGGTCGAGCTTACCACCCACGGAGCTCCGAGCCGCGTTTCGAATGGCCCTCGATTTCACATGATCAAGTTTCCCGTACACCACATTCCCAAAGCCACTCGGGTCTAACCAGCAGATTATGGGGTGATCAAAGTGCTGCAAATTTTCGACGTCGAGGTTGTTGGGCGAGGTGGGTGAGCTGAGAGGTACCATTTTTGTGATCAAAGTACGCCTCAAAAATTGCTGACGCCACCATCGCCACTTGTACGGTATTGAGCGCATCTGTACAGTGATAACGTGACCGCAACAGACAGCAAAACAGTTCGACAAGAATTGTATTCTCGAAATGACGAAGCTGTACAATTCGCTTGTGGTTTTTCGCAGCCAAAAGACGTACTGTATATGCACACGAAAAAAGCATTGCGATTCCCGACAGTCGTCTGAATTCAATTGTTCTACTATTGAGGCCGGCAATTGTCCTGTGTGAAAGTTCGTCGCCGGCATTGTGATCAAAGTGCCAATTTCGACGTCGATCGACGTCGAGCACGACGTCTGTTGACGTCTGACCTTCGACGTCGCAGTTCATAAAAAAATACTTTGATCACGCCTTCAGCAGCGCGGCCACGTAGTACAAAAGTTTCAGCAATGCATTGGTGATGTGGCAGAAAGTCTCAGCACCACTGAGTCACCAGGTCAGGTATTGGTTGTGACGGCGAAATATGACATCAGCCAAGCATCTTTACAGGGACCCAGCTGCATTTTTCCACAAAGTCCGCGTAGAAGGGGGGGAATGCAGCCATTTGGGGAATAGTGGTCACACGAAGCAGGGGCCACATCAGCAGGCAGCACACGAAACATGAGCCCAACTAGTCGAGGTGGCCCTGCCGTGGACGAATGAGAACGAGAGAAGGAGATGAGGTTCAGTGAAGGACCAAAAGGGTGTGTGGCTTGAAGGGCCATTCCATGAAAAGAGGTATAATCTCCAACCGACACGTGCATCAAGCTTCGTTTCGTATCACCAGAACAAGACACACGCAGTCAGAGTCACACAACAGAACAAAACCCAAGGAGACCGAGACTCCAAGATTGGTGATGATGGTTGCACATGGAAAGTGGCGGTGGCAGGAATGACGCATGTACAGTCTACACCTCCACCCCGCACATTGCCAACCAGGCCTAACATGCTGAAATCATGGCCGCAGCGAAGAGCAGCCACCACATGCTTCAACGACCCCTCCCATGCCGGGCTGCCTCTCCTCCCTGGCCTGCGTTTCTTTCCCTCCGCGTGGTCGCCTTGCGCCCTGCGTTTTCCCAACTGAACCAACCAAACGAACCATCCTTCTCTCGCGCTCGCTCGCGACCACATACGCACAGCCTTTCTCCCAAAGCTCATAACCGCAACTTGGTCGGAACCATTGAGCAGTTTGCATCGCTTCTTCCGCACGCCGTCCGACGCTCCACCGTCGCATCCCACCTCACATTCCCTGTTCTTCGCACTCCACCTTAGTGGCAAGCGGCCAGTGTTGGGTACTGATAAGCTTCTGTGCCTCATCCTCTTTCACAATCTCATCGCGCTTCAATCCTCAGCACATTTTACACCAACGTTCTCGGTATGGCCTTCCAAATACCAGTCTCGCTTCCTAGTCTCCCAGCTTCAGATATGGCTTCTCTCGCAACGCATCCCTTCTGCCACGGCTTGTCCCAACCCTTCCTAGCAATGCCTCCTACGCTCAGCTCTCTCCCCTTTCCCCAGCTCCACCACCAGCACTCCTCCGCTTCGCTCCGCGCCTCTCCCTCTCAGCGTTCCTGCGAGTTGTGCACCCAACCGGCCGCACTCCGCTGCGACGCGGATTCCGCGTTTCTCTGTGCGGCGTGCGACGCGGCAGTGCATTCCGCGAACTTCATCGTGCTCCGCCACTCGCGCCACCTGCTCTGCGCGCTCTGCAGCAGCCCCACCAGCTGGGAGGCGCCCTCGCCGTTCCAACAACCCGCCGCTGCGGCGCAGACGCAGGTTCTGTGCGATTCGTGTCTGGCCGTGGGCGCGGTTAGCGGCATTACCGGAAACGCGGTTTTCCACACCCCGAGCGCGATGAGCGCGAGCATGGCTGTGTCGCTCCTCCCCCTCCATACATACGCAGCCGCGCTTTCTAGCTCTGCGTTCGTTCCTTCGCCCCCGTCGAATGTCGCACCTGAATCGCAGTCTCTCGCGAAGCGGCACAAGGCTAACCCGGAAAACCTCTTGGCGTTTGCCCAATACCCGCCCCACGCAAAACTCTTGCAAATGCAATCTTCTGCAGCAGCAGCAGCAGCAGCAGCTCCCTTCGCTGCTACTCGCAGGAACAACCCTTTCGCAGAACAGCCTGGGTACAGCCAATCAGGGACAGCACCATTGCCCGTTATCCTCCTCTTCCTCCTCCTCGTCGCCACCGGAGACCCTCCAGTTATTCCCAACGGCAACACCGAGCGAAGGAGCGACAGAAAGTGCTGTTGTAACGCCTCCGTTGACTAACAGGACTCTTTCGCAACAGCAGCCCGCTCTCGCCCAGTCTGGCGTGGTTGCTGACGTAGCGGGTGTCGTTCCGGATCTAAACGAATCCCTCTGTAACGAGAATCAAACGGTACCTGATGCCTCCACGGGAAAGGGACAGCGACAGGAGGAGCACGTAGCGGGGCAGGCGCAGAACGTTCTGGGGGGAAGCTGTGCGAACGGGCAGGGTCGGAATGTTCTTGGGCAGCTTGCAGCTGCCCGACTAAAGCGCGTTCTCTCCTCCTGGTATGCCAGGCTCGCGCTTCGTGGGCCGCACGTGTCCGATCTGGCGTTCCACATCTTCCAGAAGGTTCTACGAAAGCTCCAGCCCGGCCGGGTGGCAGCCGACTCGCTGAGGGTGACGCTAGCGGCGTGCATGTGGACGGCTGCTAAGCTAGACGACAACCAGAAGACGCTGCCTAGGGCATCTGACGTGGCAGCGGTTGCCCGCGTATCAGCTCAGCGCCTGCAGGCTGCTGAGCTGGAGGTGATGAAGCTGGTGGATTGGAGGCCCCTGGAGGGGTTCACAGGATTTCAGGAATGAGCGGAACAAGCTGAGAAGTGAGAAGAATTTCATTTCTCGAGCTAAGGAGATGCACAGGACATGTGTGTAGGCAGCAGTAGCAGCAGCAGCAGCAGCGAAAAGGTGACAGTATGTACATGGCACACAAGGATGGACGTTGATGTGTGTGCGTCCATATACCTCCGTCCGGGACAGCAAGCAGCACGCATGCTCATGCTATGAGTCAGTTTCCATACCCCAGCAATGGTTGGGAAGCCATCAAGGCAGGAGCATATACGTTATATTAGCCTAACACCTGATAGGCGCTAGAAGCTCAGAATTCTCCTAGAAGCCCTTTTAGTCAAGGTCCTTCATCGTGGCCCTTCATTATTTTGTTGACCTGTGCATATTATAATGGGAAGTTGATATTGAGTTTATTTTCTCCCATTTTGCGTCTTTAATTGGTTGATAAGACCTAATGCTCTACCTTTCCAGCAATTTCCTATGAAGCATCACATTTCTGGGTAAATGCGGCAGTCAAGAGTTAACGTGACTTCCACCGTACTGCACCGTTACACAGGCCGTATACAGCCGTATTGAGTTGAGACCCGACCTCGAGGCACCGCGCTACTCTCGTTGCTCCGTTATTAGTCTGTTCGCCCTACCCGATTCTGTTTCGCTCGAACCCATTGCTGAGGCAACTAGTTAGTTAGCACTCCGTGTCGCGCTAGCTGAAGCAATCGACGGACCGCGAAGCTTATGCCTGAAGCAACAAGCACAGATACCGTATTTATTAACCTCGTCATCCTCCTCGTTCTCCTTACAACTCGAGTCTTCCGAACCGAACGCTCTCCGAGCCGCGCAGCCTTGGCGCTGCTGGGGAGGTCCGAGCGGAGATCCTTCGAGTCACCGCTTGATCGAATCCCGCTACACCTGCAAATAGCACTCGAATACGCCTACCGTCCTTTCTTTTCCTCTCGCGCACGCCATGTGGCGCCGTGGTTCAAGAGCCGCGGCAATGTCGAGGTAGCCGTGACACGCGCGTAGCAGCAAGCGCGGCGTTACAACAGAGCGTGTTCCCACAACGACGCCGGTCTACTTCCGGTAGTTTCCCACACCAACGCGGGTCTATTTCTGGCAGTTTCCCCCACCGACTCTTTCTCCCTTTCTGAGCGACGTTTCGTCGCGTCGCGTTCGTCGCCATGTCGCACTTCCCGCATCACAATGACGACGATCTCAGCGGCCCGCCGATCCCGAGCTACAAGATCAGCAGCTTTTCGGATCCCAGTATGGAGGGGCCGCCGATCCACGTGGCGGACGCGGAGAGGCAGACGGTGCTGACGAGTCTGCAGGGCGAGTTGATACGCGAGTCGTACGCTGAGCTGGAGCCTGATCTGGACAAACACGCGATCATAATGTACCTCACGTACGTACGGATGGAGCTGTAGATGTAACGTACCTCCATTGCGTTACACACATGCTCTCGTTCTGTTGCTCACAACCCCACATTGCGTCAACACCACCCCCAACCAGTCAGACCTATCCCCCTCTGCCCCTCCAACGCACTACACAATCCCATACTTCATCCCTCCTCCATTACCCCCGTCCTCTCCACCTTTCCCAACCCCCCCCACCCCATCCCCCCAACCCCTCCCCCCCGGCCCCTCCCACCTGTCTTTCGCCCCAAACCCCCCTCCTCTCCGTCTGTCCCCCCACCAGCATCTTTGACATGGTACCAGAGGCCAAGCGCCTCTTCTCCATGGTGCGCGAGTCGAACGAGCCGGCTCCAGTCAACATTAAGCTCAACGCACATGCCACCATGTCCTTCCGCATGGTATGGCGCTGAGGGAAAGCCTAATGAAGAGGAATGGGAGGAGTCGATAGGATGGGCAAGGGGGGAGAAGAGAGGATGAAAGAGGAGACAGGCGAGGGTAGAAGAGAACTTGGTTTCCCCTTCTCCCCCAACCATGCACCCCCCTCTCCCCCAACCATGCACCCCCCTCTCCCCCAACCATGCACCCCCCTCTCTCCCCGCTCCACTATGTCAGATGTGTGAGGCGTTCTGCAAGTGGGACGACCCAGCCCAGGTGGAGAAATCGGTGCCCTTCTTCAAGGCGCTGGGCGGCCGACACCTCAACTACGGCATCGATGGCAACGACTTCCCGGTGGGTGGGAATTTAAGGGGTTGAGCATAGAGGGAGGTTGGGAGTGAGTGAGGGGTTGAAATGTGGGATGTTGTGGAGGAAGGGAGGATTATGACAAGCACCGAGTTAATGGAGAGTATGAAGCATATTATAGATCATGAAAGGAACGAGAGCACCCGTGTCCCCATTCTTGTCACCTGCTTGTTTCCTCATACTCGCCCCTCGCCACCTCCCCACATCGCCAGGTGTTCCGGACGGGTTTCATGAAGGCACTGAAGAAGGCGTTTGGGGAGCGGTGGCACGGGGAGCTGGAGGGAGCGTGGTGTGCCGCCTTTGACATGCTGGAAGAGGTTGCTAGCACCGGCATGGCGGAGGGCGGGGGATTCAAGCGCGTGCCAGCCTTCATGCTGGCCTGAGTTGTGGTGTGGTGGTTCATGGCGTGTGCGGCCTCTGACGTGCTGGAGGGAGCGTGGCGTGCTGCCTTTCACATGCTTGAGGGGGTTGCTAGCACTGGCATGGCGGAGGGGGGAGGGTTCAAGCGCGTGCCTGCCTTTATGCTCGCTTAGATTGGTGTGACTCACATTTTGCGAGCTGTGGCTCGTTTTCCAAGGGTCGTAAAGCGTGCTTCTTTGAGTGCCCCAGCCACCAGGACAGGTAGCAGCCTCCCAGTTTGACATGATAGAGGGTGGAGGAACATGGAAGGGGCATGTGGTAATGCAATGGATAGCAATAAGATGCAATGTGTATCTATTCAGTGTATTCGCTGAACACATACACCTGAAACCTGTTGACGACGAATGCAGCAACTTGGGGGTGAGAAACATCATATAAAACAAAGTGAGCCAGAGGCAGGGCTCAGGTTATCAGTGTAATTGACCCTTCTATACTGATGAGAAGGGTAAAATTTTGAGTCTACACTGATGCTCTGGGGTAATTTTTTGGTGAATTAGTGTTACACTGATCTGTAAGTGTATCGTTGTAGGTCACACTGACGCCTTGGGGTAAATTTCTAGTTATCGAAGATTACATTGAAAGGCGTACAGAACCCCCCCCTCCCCCACTCCCCCCCCCCCCCACCCTTCTAATCCCCGAAATTTGTGAGATCGTGATTTCCGTCGATCACGCAAGTACCGAGGTTACCTTCCGTTCCCTACGTGTTGGCCGCAGTGACGTGTCGATTGGTCAGTTGGACTAAGCTAACAAGTGTTACTGTACGGCAAAAACCCACACTGACGACGCAGGGTAAAAATTTCAGAAGTTGATGTTACACTGCTCTATCAGGGTATTGTAAAAGTACACACTGCTCATAAGGGTTTTTAAAAACGCTACACTGCCAATCGTGAGTAGGCCAAATCCAAACCTGAGCCCTGGCCAGAGGCAGCAGTTTTTGAGGAATGGTTGTTTCCATTCATAAATGATTGTGTCGGGGAGACGAGCTCAGGTTGCTACTCTAGAAACAAGCTAGTGTGGTGCAGTGCAGCTGTTGTTGGAGCAGAGGCATGCAAAGACACGGGATGGAAAGTTGATTCAGGGACAAGCACACCTGTCCACTCTGCAGGACAGATCACCACAACACTTTACCCGGCTTCTAAGCGCAGAAGCCAGATGCGATTCCCCAGGTTGGCAACACACTGAAGTGTGTCAGCAGGGAGTTGGGGTCATGACATGACTCATGTGGCCATGGGCGCTGGATGATGGAGCCATGCATGCATAGCACACACACCTGATTTGATGGCAGTCATACCATACTACTCCTGCCCTTCTCCTTGAACCCTCTCCTGACCCTTCTTCTGAACCTCCTCCTGGCCCTTCTCTAGACCCTCCTACTGACCTTTCTCCTGACCTTGCTCCTGACCCTGCTCTATAAGCACTGGCACCCCTCCCTGCACAATGGAGTCATGCACGGCACACACCACCCGCTGTGTCAGCACCATCATATCCACCCATTTCCGATCCAATGCCGACTTCCCTCCCCCCCCTCTCACCCCCCTCACAATCCGTGCCAGCTCAGCAATCATCATTGCCTCCTGCGTCCACGTCAGCACAACTTCCCTTCTCTCCACCGTTGATTCCACCACTAGATCTGAATTTGGCCACCTGGAACCCTTTTCAATCACAAACTCGACCTTATTCTCTTGGAAGGGGATGGTGAAATCCTCGAGTGTGATTGTAGCGAGGGAGCCTGCAAACTCAAGGCGCTGAGAACTAGGAGAATCAAATCCGCACTGGAACAGAGCAGTTAACCCGTTTCGCCAGCACAGGTAACCACCGCAGCGAATCAAAACGCCTTCTTCGTTAACCTTGGGATCAGGGAGACCAAGCACTTTGTATGGAGGCTCGATATCTGCAGCCCAGAGTGCCGCTCGGATGCAGTACCACCCTATGTCTCCCAAACACCCCAATCCGTCTAAATCCTTCTTCAGCCGAATGTCTCTCTTCATGAATTCCTCTGATCCCGGGAAGAAGAAATTTGACGTCACGCGCATGAGCTGCCCGAAGGATTTGCTGTCCTGCATGGCCGCTTTCATTTCGGCTGCCCGTGGGTTGTGCATCCACATCGTGCCGTCCATGATCTGAACCCCCGCCGAATCGACGGCTGCGATCATGGTATTCAGGTCGTCCACATTCAGCGACACGGGCTTCTCTAACAGAATATGCTTTCCGTGATTCGCGGCTTTCACCACCCATTCCACGTGGAGCGCAGTCGGCAGCGGGATGTAAACGGCGTCCACTAACGGATCCGCTCAGCGTAGCTGCCGTAAATCGCGGCGTCGTCAGCCATGCCGACCTCCTTGGCGAACTGCGCGGCTCGCTCGTAAGACCGGCTGCCTATGGCGTACGGAATGACACCCGGTACGCACCGCATCGCGCGGACCACCTTCTTTGCGATCCTCGCCGCTCCGAGGATGCCGAACCTCACAGGCACGGGGCTCAACGGCGCCTCAGGTTCCGCCATGGCCGCTCTTTGCGGATGCGCAGCGGGCCTATAGACTCTACGACCGGAAATGCGAACTGTCGGTCTAACAGCGAGAGCCGAGGGCAGAAAGTGGATCGGAAGAAATTTCTGATTCGAATGTGACGTTGACGAGAGATATGATATGGATAAAGTGACGGGACCTCCAGCGTTGGGTGCGCGGAAAACCTTGAAAAATTTGAGGACAGTGCCATGGCTTGCAATAGCAACGAATCGTGGCGCGACGCAGGCCGAGACAGGTTGCTACGGTGCTTCACGGTTCTGATGAGAGCTTTTAGTTTGCTCTCAAAGCTACCGTATAAGGAAAATCCAGGTGCTGAAGGGGTAACGTTGGTCCTGTATGTAGCTCTAGGCAGGTCTGATTGGTGACTCGTTTGTAGCAGCTGCAAATGCAGTCATTGTGGAGTGTGTATTTTTTTATTTACAACTCAGTAAGATCCACTGCCAGTGTACATATGCCATGCTGAAGCTTGAGGTCAGAACAGAAAGCAAGGATCTGGGAAAGGCTTGGCTGGAATGTTGGTTCATGGATGGGTAGGCGGCGGGTTGACTGCTTGGCTGGTTACTGGGTTAACTAGTGAGCTGCTTTGCTGCTTAGCTACTTGCAGCTCCTGCGCAATCTCCCCCATCCACACTTTTGTGCGAGAGGGGATGGCCTGTCTCATGGCTTCTTGGTGGTGGCTTTTTCTGTATGTGCATGCACCGCATGTTCAGCGCCCTGCATTTCCATGCTCTCACTCATCCCTGCATTTCCATGCTCTCACTCATCCCAGCATTTCCATGCTCTCACTCATCCCTGCATTTCCATGCTCTCACTCATCCCTCCACGGGGTGCCTGGCATGGCACAGCACCTGAAGGAAGACACTCCGTCCTGCTTGGGTGTTTGTGCCCAGGCGCCTTCCAGGCTGCCCACCCCACCCCACCCCACCCTACCCACTTATTCCAACACATGCAGGCCCATTCCATCCCATCCCAGCAAGCACAGCACAGCACAACACACCTAAACAACCTAAGCAAGCTTGGCACCCCTATGCAAGCTTGGCACACCTAAGCACAGACATGCAAAGCAAAGCACAGCAGTGGTCCATCTTGAGCTGTTGGTAGTGCACCCACCCACGGCCACCAGCAAGCGGCCACCAGCAAGCGGCAGCCCACATGTCCTCCACCTCGCCCTGCACTTCACCGTAGGAGAGCCACTTACGAGGAGAAGCAGCCATCGGGACAGCAGTGGAACATGAAAGGTAGAAATAGAAGTAAAGATGATCAGACGGCAAATGTTAGCTAAGTATTGTACTCACGTCAAATCACCAGGGAAAGGCGAGCACTAACTGAGAAATGTGCAATAACAAGGCAGCATCAGCATCAGCATCAGCATCAGCATATCAGCATCAGCATATCAGCATCAGCATCAGCATATCAGCATCAGCATATCAGCATCAGCATCAGCATCAGCATATCAGCATATCAGCATCAGCATCAGCATCAGCATCAACATCAGCATCAGCATCAGCATCAGCATCAGCACATCAGCATCAGCATATCAGCATCAGCATCAGCATCAGCATATCAGCATCAGCATCAGCATCAGCATATCAGCATCAGCATCAGCATATCAGCATCAGCATCACCATCAGCATCAGCATTTCAGCATCAGCATCAGCATCAGCATTAGCATCAGCATCAGCATCAGCATCAACATCAGCATCAGCATCAGCATCAGCATCAACATCAGCATCAGCATCAGCATCAGCACATCAGCATCAGCATCAGCATCAGCATCAGCATCAACATCAGCATCAGCATCAGCATCCGCACATCTTCAGCATATCAGCATCAGCATATCAGCATCAGCATCAGCATCAGCACATCAGCATCAGCATCAGCTTCAGCATCAGCATCAGCATCAGCATCAGCATATCAGCATCAGCATATCAGCATCAGCATCAGCATCAACCTCAGCAAAACAGCATCAGCACCAGCTAAACAGCATCAGCATCAGCATCAGCATATCAGCATCAGCATCAGCATCATCATATAAGCATCAGCGTATCAGCATCAGCGTATCAGCATAAGCATTAGCATCAGCTTCAGCATCAGCATCAGCATCAGTCAGGTTTGACGTCAGGTTTGAGGTCAGGTTTGAGGTCAGGTTTGAGGTCAGGTTTGACGTCAGGTTTGAGGTCAGGTTTGAGGTCAGGTTTGAGGTCAGGTTTGAGGTCAGGTTTGAGGTCAGGTTTGAGGTCAGGTTTGAGGTCAGGTTTGAGGTCAGGTTTGAGGTCAGGTTTGAGGTCAGGTTTGACGTCAGGTTTGAGGTCAGGTTTGAGGTCAGGTTTGAGGTCAGGTTTGAGGTCAGGTTTGAGGTCAGGTTTGAGGTCAGGTTTGAGGTCAGGTTTGAGGTCAGGTTTGACGTCAGGTTTGACGTCAGGTTTGAGGTCAGGTTTGAGGTCAGGTTTGGGGTCAGTTTTGGGGTCAGGTTTGACGTCAGGTTTGAGGTCAGGTTTGAGGTCAGGTTTGAGGTCAGGTTTGAGGTCAGGTTTGAGGTCAGGTTTGAGGTCAGGTTTGAGGTCAGGTTTGAGGTCAGGTTTGACGTCAGGTTTGAGGTCAGGTTTGAGGTCAGGTTTGAGGTCAGGTTTGAGGTCAGGTTTGAGGTCAGGTTTGAGGTCAGGTTTGAGGTCAGGTTTGAGGTCAGGTTTGAGGTCAGGTTTGAGGTCAGGTTTGGGGTCGGTCAGGTTTGAGGTCAGGTTTGAGGTCAGGTTTGAGGTCAAGTTTGAGGTCAGATTTCACGTCAGGTTTGACGTCAGGTTTGAGGTCAGGTTTGAGGTCAGGTTTGATGTCAGGTTTGAGGTCAGGTTTGATGTCAGGTTTGAGGTCAGGTTTGAGGTCAGGTTTGAGGTCAGGTTTGATGTCAGGTTTGAGGTCAGGTTTGAGGTCAGGTTTGAGGTCAGGTTTGAGGTCAGGTTTGACGTCAGGTTTGAGGTCAGGTTTGACGTCAGGTTTGAGGTCAGGTTTGACGTCAGGTTTGAGGTCAGGTTTGAGGTCAGGTTTGAGGTCAGGTTTGAGGTCAGGTTTGAGGTCAGGTTTGAGGTCAGGTTTGAGGTCAGGTTTGAGGTCAGGTTTGATGTCAGGTTTGAGGTCAGGTTTGAGGTCAGGTTTGAGGTCAGGTTTGAGGTCAGGTTTGACGTCAGGTTTGAGGTCAGGTTTGACGTCAGGTTTGAGGTCAGGTTTGAGGTCAGGTTTGAGGTCAGGTTTGAGGTCAGGTTTGAGGTCAGGTTTGAGGTCAGGTTTGACGTCAGGTTTGACGTCAGGTTTGAGGTCAGGTTTGAGGTCAGGTTTGAGGTCAGGTTTGAGGTCAGGTTTGAGGTCAGGTTTGAGGTCAGGTTTGAGGTCAGGTTTGAGGTCAGGTTTGAGGTCAGGTTTGAGGTCAGGTTTGAGGTCAGGTTTGAGGTCAGGTTTGAGGTCAGGTTTGAGGTCAGGTTTGAGGTCAGGTTTGAGGTCAGGTTTGAGGTCAGGTTTGGGGTCGGTCAGGTTTGAGGTCAGGTTTGAGGTCAGGTTTGAGGTCAGGTTTGAGGTCAGGTTTGAGGTCAGGTTTGAGGTCAGGTTTGAGGTCAGGTTTGAGGTCAGGTTTGAGGTCAGGTTTGAGGTCAGGTTTGAGGTCAGGTTTGAGGTCAGGTTTGAGGTCAGGTTTGAGGTCAGGTTTGAGGTCAGGTTTGAGGTCAGGTTTGACGTCAGGTTTGAGGTCAGGTTTGAGGTCAGGTTTGAGGTCAGGTTTGAGGTCAGGTTTGAGGTCAGGTTTGAGGTCAGGTCTAGGGTCAGGTTTGAGGTCAGGTTTGAGGTCAGGTCTAGGGTCAGGTTTGAGGTCAGGTTTGACGTCAGGTTTGAGGTCAGGTTTGACGTCAGGTTTGAGGTCAGGTTTGAGGTCAGGTTTGAGGCCAAGTTTGAGGTCAGGTTTGAGGTCAGGTTTGAGGTCAGGTTTGAGGTCAGGTTTGAGGTCAGGTTTGACGTCAGGTTTGAGGTCAGGTTTGAGGTCAGGTTTGAGGTCAGGTTTGAGGTCAGGTTTGAGGTCAGGTTTGAGGTCAGGTTTGAGGTCAGGTTTGAGGTCAGGTTTGAGGTCAGGTTTGAGGTCAGGTTTGACGTCAGGTTTGAGGTCAGGTTTGAGGTCAGGTTTGAGGTCAGGTTTGAGGTCAGGTTTGACGTCAGGTTTGAGGTCAGGTTTGAGGTCAGGTTTGAGGTCAGGTTTGAGGTCAGGTTTGACGTCAGGTTTGACGTCAGGTTTGAGGTCAGGTTTGACGTCAGGTTTGAGGTCAGGTTTGAGGTCAGGTTTGACGTCAGGTTTGACGTCAGGTTTGAGGTCAGGTTTGAGGTCAGGTTTGAGGTCAGGTTTGAGGTCAGGTTTGAGGTGTGAGGTTTGAGATCAGGTTTGAGGTCAGGTTTGAGGTCAGGTTTGACGTCAGGTTTTAGGTCAGGTTTGACATGAGAGAGGATTGAAGTTGTTGATTCAGATTAATGAAAGCACGAGAATGGGTGATAGGAAAGACGACGGATCACATCATGAAAAGGAAGAGAAACGAACAGGCAAGGGTGGAAAATGCGGAGTACAGGAGAAGGGGGCATGACGAATGTTACCGTGAGAAGAAGAGAGGTCAATTGCTGTGTCCCTTGCTTCTGTTTCCTTGGAACGCCGCTCCCATGTTGACCACTCCTGCCAGAGGATAGGCAGGAGGAAGAAGATAGAGAGGTGAACCGGAGGAGTATTCAAACAACAAAACAACAAGTAGAAAGGCCAAGGAAAAGGGCCGTAGGGACCCCAAAAACAGAGCACGGGAGTGTGAAGGGCAAACGAATGGAACTGAATGGGACGACTGGGACAGCTGGAAATGAAGGTCGGAAAGTCACACCATCAGAAATGTCAGTTGATTTTGTACCTTTTTTCTATGCCCCTCCCATACTGCAGCCGATTAGTTGATTTGGTACGGCTGCTGCTGCAGCTCCGCTGCTGCACACCACAGCACTCCGCTCTGCGCCACGATTTCACTTGTCAACGCTGAGAAGGTCGTCTCACGTGTGCTGCAACTACTGCTGCCACCACCACTGCTGCTGTCCATGCTGCTGTCCATGCTGCTGGTGCAGGACAATAGGTGCTGCTATACGGGTCACCGGAGCGAGGAGAGCAGGGACAAGGAGAGGGCAGGAGAGGCATGGGATTTGAGAGCCGAGCAGAGGGGCATGAACATCTGGCAACAGAGTAGCTAAGACACATGGGTACTGTAGAAAGACGGCAGACAAGGCACAACAAGGGCTAAACAGAAAGACTAAGAATGGCGAAGAGGCTTACAAGTACTTGTGTGCTTGCCATCCTCCCGCAGTTGCTGCATCCACTTCCCCTTTGAGTGCTGGAGAGAGGGGTGGAAGGATGGCAAGGAAGAGGAAGAGAGGCGTGAGAGCAAGGAGAGGCTGGGAATGTGAAAGAGCATTGACATGCCGGAGGAGATGGCAGATGGCAGCTGGAGAAGGGGACTGGGACAAGACGAAATGGAGAATGCATTCACCCTGCTGCTGTATCCTCACTTTTGGTTACCTCTTGTCTTGGAGAAGCAAGCAACGGATGTTGTCCCCATCCCACCGACGGACAGACAAGTTCTCGAAGCACAACGCACTCCACGGCCTGGAGCCTGAGAGACACACTCACATGCACGCACACGCATGCACACACGGACAGGCGCCGCCCCCCCACCCCACCCCCTCCTCTCCCCCTCCCCCTCCCCCCTCTCCCCCCCTCCCTCCTTTCCACCCCTCTACCCCCCCCCCCCCCGTGCCTCACAATCATGGGGAGAGAAAACACACACACAGAAGCGGCACAACAATGGAGGGTTAGGAGCAACAGGAGAGGAGGCAAGTGGTAGAAACAAGAAGAAGAGACACGACTCTTGCCTCTGCGCGGCGACTCACTTCACGGCCCCCCTGCAAGCACCCCCTGGCACGTACCACGTTCCGTCCGTTGCTCTCCCACTGCTGCACCACGAGCAATCCGCCACACTCCGAAGCTTGAAGGCTGAGAGGCACACTCAGAGGCATGCACACACGCACACGCACACATGCACACCCCACCGCCTTCCCCCCCTGTCCCCCACATGCACATGCACAGTCCCCGTCCACTCGCTGCCATTCCCGTCCGTCTCGCAGGCCGTGAGGCACACACACGCATGGGGAGAGAAAACACACAGAAGCGGCGCAACAAGGGAGGGTTAGGAGCAGCAGGAGAGGAGGCGAGTGGCAAAGACAAGAACAAGAGACACGACTCTTGCCTCTGCGCGGCGACACCCTACGACTCACTTCACGGCCCCCCAGCTAGCACCCCCTGGCACGTACCACGCTCCGTCTGCCACCCTGCCGCTCTGCCTGCACCACGCCTTCTCTTCCATCGTGCTACTCCTGGCTGCTCTGTTGCTGCTCTGTTGCTGCTGCGCAAAGCCTTCACTCCAAGCAGCGCCCTGCCGCTGCCTGTGCTCCCGGTTGCTCCGTTGCTCTGCTACTGCAGTCGTTGCTGCCGTCGCAACCACCGGTTGCTGCAGGGAGGAGGGGAGGACAAGAGAGGAGCTGAGATGAGTGCATGATCATTTGAGAGCACCGCTGCAAAGACTCATGGCACCGCGGAAAACTGGTAGACAAGAGAGAGAGAACGGAACACAGAAAGCAGGAAGATGGTGAAAAATGAAAAGTGAGGTGGTGAAGTGCTTGACGTCCATGATTCACTCACAACCCCTTGTATGCTCACCATCATCCTGCAGTCGCTGCAGCCACTGGTGATCCCCGTCCACTTACTGCCTCCCCGTCCACTCGCTGCCTCCTCATCCACTCGCTGCCACCCCGTCCATCTCGCAGGACATGAAGCATACACACGCATGGGGAGAGAGAGAGACATACAGAAGTAGCAGCAGGAGAGGAGGCGAGTGGTGGAGGCAAAGGCAACAGACACGACTCTTGCCTCTGCGCGGCGACGCCCTACGACTCACTTCACGGCCCCCCTGCAAGCACCCCCTGGCACGTACCACTTCTCCTCCTTGGCAGAGCCTGCCGCCCCTGCGCCACACACTCGCCCCAAGCAACAGCACCCTGCTGCGGCCCGCGCTCCAGACTTGAGACGTTGCTGCTCCAGCTTGCTGGTTGTCTGCTGCTGATACCTGCAATAACAAGGGACTGTGGCTTGTGAGTCAGACCCAATCCAACTAGTTGCGAGATTTCAGAGGAGAAAGCAGTGAAGCACATGCAATACAAGTGATGAGCCCTTGGCATCAGGAAAGGCAAAGCGTTCGGAGGAGAAAAATATTTAGCTGAAAAGCCAAGACACTGTTGCTACTCCTGATTCAAGTCACCAGCGCTGCTGCACTCACCAGCGTTGCTGCTGTGTCTCGGGCAGGAACGAGACCCACACACTTGTCACTTCCCGTCCACTCCCTCCCATCTCCCATCGCACAGGCAATGAGGCACACACATGCAAAGGGAGAAACGCACGCAGACAGAAGCAGTGGAACAACGGAGGGTTAGAAGCAGCAGGAGAGGTGGCGAGTGGTGGATGCAAGGGCAAGAGACACGACTCTTGCCTCTGCGCGGCGACTCACTACGACTCAACTCACGGCCCCCCTGCAAGCACCCCCTGGCACGTACCACTCCTGCACCATGCCTTCACTTGAGACGTGCTGCTCCAAGTTGCTCCCCTTTCTCCTCGCAAGATGGTTGTCTCTCGTGCAAGCCGGCAATGGCAGCCGTGTCGATTCCCCGTCCACTCGCTGCCATTCCCGTCTGCCTCGCAGGCCATGAGGCACACACACGCATGGGGAGAGGGACACGCACACACACACACAGGCGGTGCAAAAGTGATGGTCAGAAGCAGCAGTGGCGGAAGAAAGGGCAACAGACACGACTCTTGCCTCTGCGCGGCGACACCCTATGACTCAATTCACGGCCCCCCTGCAAGCACCCCCTGGCACGTACCGTGCTCCACCTGAATGTTTTCCCCTGCTTGGCAAAATCTGCAGCTCCTTCAGCCCAAGCAGCACCCTGCTGCGGCCCGTGCTCCAGGCTCCAGGAGTGCTGCTCCAGGATGCTCGTGGTGTGCTGTTGATACCTGCAACAGGAGGGGTCTGTGGCTTCTGAGTTGAGCCAGTGGCGAGATTTCAAGGAGAAAGCAGTGAAGCACACGCAATACAAGTGATAATTTTTTGGCATCATAGAAGGTAAAGCGTTTGGAGGAGAAAATACTTGGCTGAAAAAACAAGCGCCGTTGCTACTGCTGCTACGACTCACCAGCGCTGCTGTTGTGTCTTCACACCAGTGCAGGAACGGAGCCTGCAAGCTTGTCACCCCCCGTGCATTCCCGGCCATTCCCCTCCGTCTTGCAGGCCGTGAAGCACACACACGCGAGGGGAGAGACGCACGCACACAAAAACAGAGCAACAAGGGAGGGTTACACGCAGCAGGAGAGGCGGCGAATGGTGGAGGGAAACGGAAACAGACACGACTCTTGCCTCTGCGCGGCGACGCCCTACGACTCACTTCACGGCCCCCCTGCAAGCACCCCCTGGTACGTACCCCGCTCCGACCAGTGCTCTCCCATTATCGACCAGTCCTCCTAGTTGTCTCTCGTGTGCGAGCCAGCACTGGGAGCTTGTCCATTTCGCGTCCACTCGCTGTCATTCCCGTCCATCTCGCAGGCCGTGAGGCACACACACGCATGGGGAGAGAGACAGACACAAACACAGAAACGGTGCAAAAAGAGAGGGTTAGAAGCAGCAACAGGAGAGTGATGGAGGGAAGGGCAAGAGACACGACTCTTGCCTCTGCGCGGCGACGCTCTATGACTCACTACACTGCCCCACTGCAAGCACCCCCTGGTACGTACCACGCGACCGTTACTGTGTCTCTGCCTTGTGACGAGCCACTGTGCCGTTGCTGACCCTTCTCCTCGCTGCGCGGTTGTCTCTCGTGCGAGCCAGCAACGAAAGCCCTCTCCACTCCGCGCCAATCCGCGTCCATTCCGCGTCATTCCGTGCCATTTCCCTCCGTCTCACAGGCCGTAGGGCACACACACGCATGGGGAGAGAGTCGCACACAAAAACGGCGCAACAAGGGAGAGTTAGAAGCTGGAGGAAAGGAGGCGAATGGTTAAGGCAAGGAAACAGACGACTCTTGCCTCTGCGCGGCGACGCTCTACGCTACTTCAGTGGCCCCCCGCAAGCGCCCCCTGGCACGCACCATGCTCCGTCCACCACTCCTGTGCCCCGTCTTCACTTCAGGCGAGCCAGCAACGGAAGTCCCGTCCATTCCGCGTCCACTCCGCGCCATTCCGCGTCCACCTCGCAGGCCGTGAGGCACACACAAGGATGGGGAGAGGAAGCACGCACACAC